TAATCACATTACATTAAGTAAGATGCAGACTGGGGAGGCCTGCCTACTGACTTTGAAGAAGTTAGTCTTGCAGGTCCCCCTGGAGCCAAGAACAACCTCTGACTGACAGCAGGCAGGAAGCTCAGCTCTCAGTCCCACACCTGAGTGACATTCGACCAGCAACCACTTGACCTTGAGCTCCAGAAAGGAAGGTAGTCCTACCAACATGACACAATAGCTTGTTGAGACCCTGAGCAGAGCCAGCCACACTGTGTCTAGGCACTTGACCCACAGAAAGGAGGCAATAGCCATTTTAAGTGACTACGTTTGCTGTAGTTGGCACTGGGCAACACAAAACTAATGTATCGGGAGAAAATCTAAAAGGTGTTTAAGATCAAGACATGAATAGAAAATAAGATCAAAGTTTTATCTTCGATAAATCACGAATTTATGAGATCACAAACTGAGATTCCTAGTGGCTAGAGTTAATGCATCTTGTATAGCAAGTGGAGCGTGGGCAGAGTCGCCATGTTGGCCTGGGCTCTGGGTCTGAGTTACGTCATTCAGTTCTTGCTACTTTGTGACCCTTTCCCTGCAAAAAGCCACTTCCAGTCCATCCCCTGTGTAGGCCCACTGGATCTGCAGTTCTCAGGATGTAGTCCTTAGGTCCTTAGGCGGCCTTGAGATTCCCTCATGTGCTCCGTAGAACAAACTATCTTCACAACAATATATGGACTTTATTTGTTCTTTTCAGTGTGTTTTGATGATGGTGCCAAAACAATGCCAGGTATAATTTAGTTCCTCAGCAAAACTCAAGCAGTGCTGTCTAAAGTGGTACTAGTGATCGTTTCTTTCATTGCCTTGCACACACAGAAGAGAGAAAAGTGGTTGTTTCATTTACAAATGCCTGTAATAAAAGTGATAGACATTATTCATTGAGTTACATTTCAACACCCCAGGAAAGCCAGTGTTCTGGTAACACCATGGGACGTGCACGTGGAATACTTCTGAAGCATATTAAAACACGATGGTCTCAATAAAGAGCGTTTGTACAGTTGTTTGAGTTGTGAGCTAAATTAGCTCCCTTTTCCAAAGAAAATCACTTTTATTTGAAAGAATGACTGATGGACAAGCTACAGTATCTGGCAGACATTTCCTGAAAGATGAAGTAAGCAAGCTTGTCACTTCGAAGAAAACAACCGACAGCGTTTGTTGCCAATGATAACATTTGAGCTTTCAAACAAAAATTGTCATTTCGGAAGACTTGCCCCCATGAGCTTGACAGTTTCTCAGTGTTAAAAACTTTCTGGTAATGTTAACCAGTGTGAATTTTTTTATATTTCATAATGAAACGTGTCAACATTTGAGAAATATTCATTGTATTATTCAATAAATCAATGTTTTCAAAATGACCAATTCATGTTTTGAAACTGCCCTTGTGTAAAAAGATCTGTCCAAAGGACAAACTAAAACAACAGATTGTAACGTTAAAAAGTTCATGGGCCCAGCACGATAGGCTGGTGGCCAAAGTCCTTACCTTGTATGTACCAGGATCCCATATGGGCGCCGGTTCTAATCCCGGTGGCCCTGTTTCCCTTGACTGGGAAACAGTTGAGGACAGCCCAAAGCCTTGGGATCCTGCACCTGTGTGGGAGACCTACAAGAGACTCCTGGCTCCTGGCTTTGGATCGACGCAGCTCTGACCTTTGCAAGCGCTTGGGGAGTGAATCAAAAGATGGAAATCTCTCCTCCTCTCCTAATATCTGACTTTGCAACAAAAATAAATATTTAAAAATATGTATATATGTGTATAAAGTTCACTACTACAGATTCTGGTTCCACATCACAACTAACTTTTTACCACTCGTCGAAAAGAATACCCATAATTATCTGAAATGGCTATTAAAATACTTGTTCCTTTTCTTAGTATGTGACTATGGGGCTGGAGGTTTCTTGTGTACTCAAGCGAAAGCACATAATGAAACATATTGAATACAGAAGCAGATAGGAGAATCCAGCTGCCTCCCATTCAGGCACTGAAGAGATTTTTACAAATGTAAAACAACGCCTATTATTCTCACTGATTTTTTTTTTTGTTTTGGAAAAATACAGCTATTTCTCATAAAAATGTTATTTATGTTAGCATGTAATAGTTTTATTATTGTTATTTTTGATAGATTAAAAGATAAAAATGTCTCAGATTTAATTTCTAATGTGGTAAATATTGCTACACAGAAACTTTATAAAACTTTTTGGGATAACCAGTAATATTTAAGGCTATAAAGAGATGCTAAGATAAAAAGTGGAAACCATGGAGTTGAAGTCTAGTTTAGCAATGGTAACTAAGTGAAATATGGAAAAAAGGGATACATAAACCAACTTTTTAAGTCACATTCCAGAGGTCTGAGAGCAGATAGTATTTTTTTTCAGAAGTCTTCCGGTCACAGCTTTTTATAGCTGCATTTTATTATAACTGGTTTCCTTACTAATCTTCCACTGCTCTAAGTCTTGAAGTGGCTTAGGGTGAAGAAGCTTGTTGAGATGCCCACATCACATATTGGAGTGCCTGCATTTTAGTCCTGGCTGTATGCCCAATCCCAGCTTCCTCCTGGAAACAACAGGTAATGACCTAAGTCGATCCCAGCCTTCCACATGGGAGACCCAGATGGAATTCTGGCTTTCTGGCAGCCAGGTCTGGTCCTGTTTTTTGCAGTCATTTCAGGATTGAACCAGTGGATAAAAGATCTCTGTTTTTCTGTCTTTTAAATAAATAAAAATGAATTAAAAACATATATAATTGTGCTAACGACTCAGTAAGGATTCATTCAACCACTGAACGTGTACTGTTCTGCTCATGGTTAAAGGAAAGTATATAGAGGGTTAGAAACTTAGTGGACCTGGTATTTTTTACTCATATGCCATTGTTGAGAATTTGATCAGAGGGGCCGCACTTATCTGAAAATGGGTCTCTTCTTGCAAGGCCAGGAGCTCTGCCAGAACATGGGGGTGGGTGGGAGCAAGGTTGCTGGGAGAGAGGAGGGGACATGGAACAATGGACAGGAGGTCTCAGCCTCTTCCTGTGACTTTGCTTCTTTGCTGGCTGTTGTCACTTCACTCTGCTCCAGCCCAGCCCCCGGGCAGCTGTTCCTCCTGCCTCTCCAGGATGAGAAGTTTTATTCTCTGAGTTCATCCCACCGCCGCCTTCTGACTATGACAGGAGTAGCAAATCTGAAGTCAAGGTTGTAAATGTGCAAATTAGGAGGATATGTCCAAGTTCAAAAGCTAACTAATAATCTCAAAACATTGCCCCAAATAATGTTTATTATAAGTAATTACAGTGGAGTTGTAATAAAAAAATTACAGTGGGGTAATCCAGAAGACAATGCTTTAATCAAGCGATCAATGTTAAATCACTATCCATGTCTGTTGACATGAGACACTGAGACACTGGGAAAGGCACATCATCTCTGTGCCTTTCTCCATCACAGCCTTGATAAAATCACGCATCAACATCCAAGAAATCCAATTTCAGAAACATTTTTTGGTGTAATTGACCAATGTTATTAAAAAGTGTCAGAACTATTGGAGGCTGAAAAAGTGTCAAAGTTTGGAGGTTGCTAAGGAGACATAAAACTAAATGCCTGAATTGGATCATGGACCAGTACATGAACATTAATGGGAAAGCTGGGGTCCTGACTGTTCTGCTTCCCACCAGCTCTCTAGCACCGAAAGATGGTCCAAACACTTACCTTCCTGCCACCCATATGGGAGACCTAGGCGGAGTTCCAGGCTCTTGCCTTCACCTGCACCAGCCCCGGTTGTTGTGGCCATGTGTGGAGTCAACTAGTGGATTGAAAATCAATCTCTCTTGCTCTCTCTGTGATTCTATTGTTCAAATAAATTAATCTTTTAAAATAAAAGTTATGGGCCTGGGGTGGTTGCCTTGCAACTGAAGTCCTCACCTTGAATGCGCCAGGATCCTATATGGCGCTGGTTCTAATCCCAGCAGCCCCGCTTCTCATCCAGCTCCCTGCTTGTGGCCTGGGAAAACAGTGGAGGACGGTCCAAAGCCTTGGGACCCTGCACCCGTGTGGGAGACCTGGAACAAGCTTCTGGCTCCTGGGTTTGGATCAGCTCAGCTCTGGCCATTCCTGCCATTTGAATCATCAGATGGAAGATCTTCCTCTCTGTGTCTCCTCCTCTCTGTATATCTGACTTTCTAACAAAAATAAATAAATCTTTAAAGAAAAAAGAAAGAAACTTGAAGAGTCTTATTACCATTTAAGCTTAAGGAAAGTATCCACGTAAGTGTTTACAAAGTGCTTGAAATACAGCGTAAATGCTTCAAGTCAAGTCTGTATCAGTGATCTTGAGGTCACTGTAGTGCTGTTGGCTTCAGCTAAAATTACAACAAAGTCGGGAAATCTAATTTGAGACACACTGTAATTTGAATTACTTTCTTTTTTTCTAATTCAATTTCATATGTCTTATATTTTCACATATTTGTTGGCCTATAAATTATTAATTTAGTCACTGTGTTGAATTACGTTTTGTTCTGATATTGCTCATGAGTGCTGACGTGTTTAAATATTGGTCTCTGTGGTTGCTGAAAGCCAAGCGACATGGGAGGGAAACATCCTGATGACCCAAATCTAATGAAAAAGGCTGCTTTGCTTTTAAAAATTGTTTCATAAAATGAAGTTGGATTTTGCTTCTGACCACTCTCTCTAATGTACTATTATTTTTCAGTCTGCTCCCCGAGGTGGAGCCAGGGATGTCTGTGATATCCTTAGGGGTTCCCATTTTCCCGTGCTTTCCCAGCTCCTGCTGTGTGCATTTGGACCTGTGCTGCTCACAGCTAGTGGATCTGAGCTGGCCTGCAGATTCTAACTGACCTGCAACAGCCAAGTGTTGAAAAAGCATTATGACAGCAATGTGACGGAGTTGTTTCATGATTGTTCCAAATAACATGAGAAAAATTGATTCTGTTTTTGTATTTTTGTTTCTTTTTTCTTACAATTCATCGTTGTTGCTTTTGACCAACATTGCGTTCTGTGATGCATTCACATTGGAAAAAGAAAACACAAAATTCCTCCTTCCTCGTAGATAGAGAACCATGGCTCTGAATTTCAAGGTGGGTCTGGCTGACGATTAACCCAGGTAATGTGCAGTTGATACAAAGGGTGGTATTGTAATTTGCATCTGCACGCTTGGGAAATATAACGTGAGTTCACACTACTGCCTGGAAGCAACTGAGTACAGATTAGGAACTGTGGCTCGTGCAACATTCCCTCTTCTTTGTGACCCTGGAAGGATTGGTTAGGGGTTGAGCAATGGTCAGGCTTGGAACTCTCAGTGGCTGTGGTAAGCTGAAATTTATTGTAGCTACTGTAGTTCTCTTCTGAGTGGCCTCCTGTTTCTATTCTCGTCCCTGATTTATCCTCCACAGTGCAACAAGAAAAACAATTCCAGCAAAATGTTAACATTTTTGTTTGTTTGTTTTTTGGCATTAATCTGCTGCTTGAAATCCTGCAGGAACTTCCTGCTCCCCACGAGATAAAGTTCAAACTCTTTATCCCCTGTTCTGTACCGTCAGGACCTGGTCCTTCTTGTACACACCTTAGAATCTCTCGGATACATCCATCTGAGAAAGATGACTCACCTCTGCCCTGGTAGACTGGGACCCTCTATCCCTTATGCTGTCTGCCAACCTCGGAAATTGCATCAAGCTTTTTTTTTTTTTTGTAAGCTTTGGGCATGAAACTAAGCAAATGCCAGATATTCTGCTATTCAGTTTTCAGATTGGGTTAGATGTTGTGTAATTCTTTTGGAGATTATTTGTAGGGAAGATGCAATGGACACTCAAGTTGTGGAAGATGCCAGGGAGGTGACCAGTAGAGTGCCTGGTCATGGACTCCTGTAGACTTCACGGGAAGGCGGAAGGAGAGGGCTGTCTTTACGCGGCTGCTCCTTGATTCGTGGGTACTGCTTCAGGGTGCTCCTCGGAGGAGTTGCCATTTGCATAACTACAATATGATTTGGTTCACTAAGCCGGCAATCAACTGCTCACTTCCTAGCATTCTAACTGCCCAGTAGATTCCAAACACTCAGTAGCTAAAGGTTAGCATTTACTTTCATCACAAACTATTTTGATTAATTAACCTCAGTGCACTCTCCTTTCAGATAACTAGGTTAAGAAGCTGTTTATGAAGTTTCCTGTGATTCAATTAAACGTAATGTCTTGATTGTAAAGAGGTAAAGGCCTCTTTAAATTCTTATTTTATAGCCGTAAATTAGGCATTTGGTTAAATGAACTTTGTCTGATATATGGAAAGAATAGCCACCACTGTAGGCAATATTTGCATTTGTCAAACCATTACTTGCTCACAATTCAATCAATTGAAGCGTTTCTCTCAGTAACTCGGTTTACTGTTGATACTTGAATATAATTTATTAGATTAAATGTGTGTTCAGGTTGAATTAGCTTTATATTTCCATTCAGATCATTGAGTTTTTCTGGTGGATTTTTTTGTTGAATATTAGCAAACCTTTGATTTAAAAAAAAATTATTGATTAGCCTACTTATTTGAGAGGCAGAGAAAAGGGGGAGGAGAAAGGAAGAGAGAGAATGGGAGAGACAACGGGGGTGGGGGAAGAGTGAGAGAGAGTGAAGAAGGCTCTACTGGTTTACTCCAGGGTTGGGCTGGGGCTGGAGCCGGGTGTTAGGAATTCAGGAGTCCAGTTGTGTGACCCATCATTGCTGTGTCCCATTTCCTCTACATTGGCAGGAACTGAGCAAGCAGCTGGAGGTGGAGGTGGAAATCAAGCTCAGATGGTCCATGCTGGAACACAGGTGTTTTAACTGCTAGGCTGAGCACCTACACCTGCTTTTTGTTTTGTTAAAGGATGAAGAAACTCCTTAGAAAGACTCAACTCTTCTCTCTCTTCTTATTAGCTTATGATACAGTTCCATAGGCTCTGGGGTTTCCCCTAACCCCTCCCTAAATTTCTTTCCCCTACTGATTTCTCCTGTATTATTATAATAGCATAATCCTTCAAAAATACTCAGAAGTCCATCATTCTGCTGTTTAATGGAATCCTGACAGTGTAGGTATGGATAACAGCAGAGTCCGGCATATTATTGTCAAGATATATTTAACAGTGTCATTGGGAGTTTTTTGATTCGGAAGTAGAGGTTCATAGTGCATTGTAGCCTCACATCTGGATATGAATCTATTCCACAGCTACTGTACATCTCTTTAAGTGAAAAGCCATAAAACAGAATCAACAACAGCGTTAAAGTTAAGAGAATTTACAACACCATGAAGTTAAATGATATGCTACTAAGTCACCAATGTGTTGTAGAAGGAATGAAAATTAAAAACCTTGAAGAAAATAGTGCTACTATATGACCTATGTGTCACTGAAGATATTAATAAGAAAAAGAACTTTTCAAAAAGATTTTATTCCATGAGCCAGCGATGAATTCAACAAGAGAAGAAAGTATTTTGAATAAATAAAGCTGAAATAAAAAACATCAAAACACATGGAATGCAGCCAAAAAAAAAAAAAGATTTTATTTATTTTTATTGGAAAGTCAGCTATACAGAGAGGAAGAGACACAGAGATCTTTCATCTGCTGATTCACTCCCCAAGTGGCCACAACCTCCAGAGCTAAGCTGATCTGAAGCCAGGAACTTCTTCCGGGTCTCCCACATGTGTGCAGGGTCCCAAGGCTTTGGGCCGTCCTCCACTGCTTCCCCAGGCCATAAGCAGGGAGCTGGATGAGAAGCAGGGCTAGTGGGATTAACTCCTTTAATATAAGAGGCAGGCATTCCAAGGACAATTTAACCATCGTGCCAAGTGTCCACCTGTGCTGATTCTGAGTGCTGTAGAGGTACACTTGCTGGTTTAAACTCACACAAGTACTTGTTGACTGGACTGACACCTGATCACTATTTTCAGTATCTATGGCTTGACAAAAGCAATTTTCTATTCTGTAAATTTATTCTACAAGAAATCTTTTAAAATATTTTGTAATTCATTGAGCTCCCATCGATGTGAAGAAAATGAGGCTTGGTCTGTCCTAGGAGATCCAGTTTCTCTGGTTCCCACGGACTCAACAGTACGGAAAGAGAGTGTGAGCTGTCTCTGGGCTGGTGTCTACTTCCCTCTTCCGCCTTTGGTGGGCCTTCCCAGATGTGTTGCACTGCTTCTCACAGCAGCTCTTTGCTGTCAGCACCGTAGCCTGGCATGGAACGAACATTATCATCATGTGTTGGTCCAGTTTGGAGTGGTGTGGAGGGAGGGCAAGCTCTTAACAATACATGTGCCCTCTTTCATAGTGCCTTGATTGGAGTCATGGCTGCAAGTGGCCATCCATGAAGCACAGTCCCTTGCCCTGACTGCCTAACCGGCTCACTCCTAGCCCCTGTTCTGCACATAGCTGTGGCCGCCTACCTAGATCTCAGCAGTGGCAGGGGAGTGGGTGTGGCATATTAGGACTTCCAGGACAGAGCTTTATGCTCTGTTTCACTTTCTGCGACCTGGAATGGGGAATTCAAATATGAGAAACACCAGACACTTGCAGCAATACAGGATGGAGACCTGTCTGCTCACTTAGGAATGCTCCCTCATGGTCTCAGGTGAACCAAAATATAGCTTACAATTGCATTTCAACGTTTAGACATTCTGGGTTTGCTCAACAATGAACATTTCCCCTAAATCATACAGAGCCTCTGATTCTAAAAAAATTTGGTTCCATTTTGAAGTTAGACACTCACCTAAAAATTAGTTAACATGTATTTTGACAAAATATTTAATTTAATTGAGCATGCTGAGTGTTCATAGAGATCTCAATTTCCCCCCAAGAGATTAATAAGGCAAAATGGATCGAGACACTTGATGAAGCATCTAATAAACAAATTACTACTTGTCTAAATTTCGCTGATGTCATGCTGTTCATTTCCAAGCAAGTTCACTTTTAATTTTAATATCCTTGCTTAGAGGTGAAGGATTTGTTCTTCGGATATCACACTTTCATTTTTAGAGGCGATGCTCGTACTACATATGTATTTATTTGCTTTCCACTTTTCCCAAAAGAATTTCCAATGAGGTATGAAAAATGACTTAGCAGAAAAGTTAATAAGAGAAAAGGAGGATGTGCAGAAAGGGACAAAGAAAATGTCCTTACTGTGATTTTTCACAAATGCTTTGAGTTTCAACTTAGGGTCTAAGTTCCTTGGCAGGCAGCTAAGTGGGAGCCATTGATAAATTACAAATCAGCCCCCAGGAAGGAGGAAGTGTGTTCGTAGCTCACGGGAGACAAAGCTTTGGTTGCAAAGCCTTGAAGAGCCAGTCCTAAACTTCTGAAGAGAAATCAGAATGGATTTGTATGAAATCTCCACCTTAGTTTTGGGAAATGAATGCTTGATGCGAATGCAAAGGAAAGAAGCTGCTACACTGTCATTACTGAAATCCTTTTGTTTATTTTGATTTTCCACTATCTTAGTGGTTGGAATGTAGGTATAGCTTTTAGATAAGGATCTTGGATATGTTCAGTTCAAAACATGAATTGTGTCAGGGGCTAAATTGGTGTAGAGTTAACCCATCCTGAACCCAGAAATTGTTTTCTAAAGATTTACTTACTTGAAAGGCAAAGTCACAGAGAGAGAGAGAGAGAACCTTTCAACCATTGTCTCTTTCCTCCAGTTGGCTGCAATGAAGCCAGTAACTCCATTCAGATCTCCCACATGGGTTTAGAACCCAAGCACTGGGGCTACCTGCTGCTGGGAGGAGGGGGGGGGGCCGGGGGTGGGGGGGGGGTGGGGTGTGGGGGGGGGGGGGGGGGGGAGGGAGGGGGGGGGGGGGGGGGGGAGGTGGGGGTGGGGGGGGGGGGGGGGGGGGGGGGGGGGGGGGGGGGGGGGGGGGGGGGGGGGGGGGGGGGGGGGGTGGGGGGGGTTGGGGGGGGGGGGTGGGGGGGGGGGGGATGGGGGGGGGTGGGTTGGGTGGGGGTTGTGTGTGGGGGGTGTGTGGATGGTGGGGGGGTTGTTGTGGTGTGGGGTGGGGTGTGGTGGGGGGTGGGGGGGGGGGGGGGGGGGGGGGGTGGGTGGGGGGGGGGTGGGTGGGGGTGGGGGTTGTGGTGGGGTGGGGTGGGGGGGTGGGGATATGTGGGTTTTGTGGGTGTAGGGTTGTTGGTGTGGGTTGGTGGTGTTGGTGGAGGGTGATGTTGGTGGTTATTTGGTTGTGGGGGTTGTGTGGTGGGTGGGGTGGGGTGGGATTTTTGTTTGTGGTTGGTTTTTTTTTGTGGGAGATTTGTGGGAGTGAAAAGTTTTGGAAGAAGTGGGAGGGAGGGAAGGTTTAAAGGGGAGGATATTTGTATTGTGTTGGATTTTGATTTGTTTGTATGAATGTTTGGGTTTTGGATGATATGTGAGTATGTGGTATGTTCCATATGACTGATACTGGATAGCTTCCTTTTGACTCTCAAAACACTTACCATTACCTTAAAACTCATTAGGCTGGGTGCTGAATCAGACTCGGGATGCTATAAATTTCTTCTTATTATTTATTTAGTACCATCAGAGGAGTTGGTTCTCTGTGGGAAATGATAGCTCTGAGAGAGGGAAACCTCCTCAAAGTTCCACAAGGACAAGGATCGTTCAACCAATGTTTGAGACATAATTATATGGTAATATAGGAAAACACCGGCAAGTCAGCCGGGAAAATCTTCTCAAAAGAATAAATAAATTAATTAACTTTCAAAGTCTTAGTAGATTGTATTTGATTTTGACCTGTGTATGTACTACCGTTTAGGAATGAAAACTTTGTGAGATGTTGTTAGGTAAGGAAGAAAGAAAAAGTGAAAGCTGCTTTTTTTTTTTTTTTTAACAATCAAAATTTACACGCTTCTAAAAATTGCCGGTTGTAGCTAAAACTTCTTTTTCTTAAAATATATGAATGCTCTATTTTTGAAAAATCAAAATGATTAGTGGATGCAAGGTGAGGACTTTAGCTGCTAGGGTACTGCTACAGGCCCAGTTTTTGTCTTATTTTAATTATTGAGGTTAATGTGAAGTGCTGTTTAAAAAATATGTATATGTATGTGTGTATATATGTGTGTGTGTGTTTATATATATACGAGACAAGCAGAGACACAGAGTGAAAGAAAATATTTTTGTTTTCTGGTATGTCCACGCTGTGGGAGTGGGCTGCTTCCCCCGGCATCCATGAACAGGCAGCTGGAGAGAGAAGCTGCAACTGGGACTGAACCCAGGCACTTTACTTTGAGATCAGGACTCCTAACAAGTGTCTTAGCCACCACATCCATGCTGACCAGGAGCTGCTGGTGTTAAGGCTGAAAAAAATGGTTGCTTGTTTCCTTGGCCTCTGTTTTTTTTTCTTTTGATGGAAATTTTGCCAGTGTTTGGCTAATTTAATGAAACACATTAATCTGTTAGAACATAGAAAAATAAATGGATTGTCTTTGTCCTTGGCTAGCTTTCAATATAAATAATTATGGTTAGCTTTAGACCTATGTAGACAGCGTAAAAATTGTTTTTTTTTTTTTTTTCTGTTTAAATTTTCGGCCACTTCCAGAATGACGGAGGCAAATGACACTGATAGAGTTTTGACTCACGGTAGACTGCAGTGGTAAAGGCAGCTATGAGCTGTCAGGTGCGTCACGTAGAGATTTCACGTTCATCTAAGTTGCTGATCTGTTGACTTTACACGTGAACCTGTGCAGCCTCACATTCTTGGAGCTGGAAAGCAGTGATGTGGCTGTCCGTCCCTGGACAGGGGATCTCTGACTCATGTCTTTACTATGCAAATTACAGAGGGTGGGCCAAGGATGAGAAGGTTAATGACTACTAATTGGTGATAACAGGTTCCAGCCTCTACTATTATTTACTCACTTATGATTTGGGCTTATCTCGAAGGTAGTGTTTTCAAAACAGGAATTAACTGATGAAGTTAGAGAGGAAAATAAAAATCACTCAAAGTCGCACTATCTAACGAAAAGCTATTATCATGTTGGTGCACATAACATTTTAACACTATTAGCATATGCCCTATACATATATAGTTTAATTCTTTCAAAAAGGATGTCATTTATGCCATTTTACACATGCTCTTTATTCATTTAACCTTATCAATTTCCTGTGTGTCAGAAAATACACTTCTACAATATTAATGGCATTGTATTTCATCATTTACTGCTGCACCATCATTTATTTTACAAAACCTTCTGTTTGGGGACATGTAGGTTGTTCCAAACTTGGAATATGTAATAATAAAAAAATGCTGCCATGAGCATCTCTATAGATACATCTTTGCCCAATTAAGTCTTAAGATAAATTGCTAAATCTAAGATTACTGTGTGAAAGGGCATACAACTTTTCAAATATTTTGGTATGTACTTAAAACTCATTTGTAGAATTTTTACAAACTTACACATTCATAGGACATATAAAATTCCTGTTCCCTTCAGGTCTTAAAAATGCTAAATATTTTTATTCTTTGCTAACTTGAAAAAATATATAGGTTTCATTGTTTCCATGACAATTTTATTTCTGAAGATTGAATATGTTTGATAATTTTATGCATACTTGTGAGTTTTTGTTTTTATGGCCAATTTTGGTGCTGCTACTGTATTTAGCTTTTCCTTAGTCATCTTACGCTACTGATATTGAGAACGAAACTTTTCATCTGTGGTGTAAGTTGCTTAGGAGTTGGTCTTGGAGTTCATACAGATGTTTGAACTCCAAAGTCCTAAGTTAATAGTCCTAAGCTGGTATTAACAGTTATAGTGGTCTAGAGGAGGGGGCACCGCAAGGCCTCAGGTTACTGGGAAGGGGATTTTGGAAGGTGTTTCTCCTGAAAAGGGTGATTGCAAAGCCACAGCTGGGTCCTTCTGTTGTCTGTGCTTCCTGGCTGACCATGTCCAGCACTTATGTCTGCTGCCCAACCAGTGGGATTGCCTGCTCTTCATTTAAACTTCAAGAACTCTGAGCTAAGAAGTTCTTTCTTCTTCTCTCTTTTTTTTTAGATTTATTTATTTTTATTGGAAAGGCAGATATACATAGCAAGGAGGAGAGACAGAGAGAAAGAACTTCTGTCTGATGATTCACTCCCCAAGTGACCACAACGGCCGGTGCTGAGTCAGTCCGAAGCCAGGAGCCCAGATCCTCTTCCAGGTCTCCCATGCAGGTGTAGGGTCCCAAGGCTTTGGGCTGTATTTAACTGCTTTCCCAGGCCACAAGCAGGGAGCTGGATGGGAAGCAGGGCTACCGGGATTAGAACCGGCGTGCATATGGGATCCCGGCACATTCAAGGTGAGGACTTCAGCTGCTAGGCCATGGCTCTTGGCCTGTTCTTTTTTCTTTAATGTCACATATGTTGTAAATATTTTTTCCAAGTTTCCCATCTGACTTTCAGCTTTGTTTATGGTGACTTTTCAAGTATAAGCATTTTTATTTATATTTTCTTTTACTACTATTTGTATTTATTTTCAAAAAAAATTTTAAAAATATTTATTTATATTACTTGAAAGGTACAGTTACAGAGGGGCAGAGAGAAACAGAAAATCTTTCATCCATTGGCTCACTCGTTAAATGGCCACAATGACCAGAGCTGGGTTGGTCTGAAGTCAAGGGCCAGGTGTTTCTGTTAAGTCTCCCATGTAGGTGCAGGGAATCAAGTCTTTAGGCTATTTTCTACTGCTTTCCCAGGCCATTAGCAGGGAGCTGGATCAAAAGTGGAACAGCTGGGGCTTAAATCAGTGCTCTATGGGACACTGGCACCATAGCACTGGCTGTGCCATAGGGCTGGCCTGCTGTCTTGGGTTCTCTTTCTTGTTCCCTTGCTTGCTTCAGAATAACTGGCTGATTGTGGTTAGCTGTGCGTTGGGAAAGTGCATGTGGCAAGGAGCTACAAGGGGCTTCCAGCTGCCAGAGGATTGGAAGCCCTTGGTCTAGCACCCGAGGAAAACACATATGAAAGCCTGGAAGTGGCTCCTGCCCCAGGTGAACCTTTGCATGAGACCACAGCTGGTATTTTATAATTTTCTTTTTCTTTTTCTTTTTTTTTTTTTAGAGAAACTGAGTCAGAAGCTGAAACGAGGCTGAACTGAGCTTGAATTACTGATTCACAGAAGGTAAGGGGATGGCCATTTATTGTCTTAAGCCATTAAAATTTGGAGCCATTTGTTATACAGCATTAGATGGCTTGTGTTTTGGTGGGTGCTGTTTCCCAGCATGAAATGACCCACCTCCTGCGCCAACACTTGAGGGTGGGCACTGTGGCCTAGGCCAGCCAGGCAGGCCCCCAGCCCCAGCTTTTGTGCGTGCCAGAAAGCGCAAGGTGGTGATGCTCAGCGCAGGTCGTCTGCTTGGGCAGGTGCCTTGACCTGATTCAGACATGCCCCTGGCTTTCCGCCCCTAAACCCCTCCCTCTCAGCTCGCTGGTCTAGCTGTAAGTGTGGCGGCCTGGTCTGTGGAAGACTCTAGAAGTCATTCCTCCCCTGTCAAACATGTCCTCAATTGTTCCCACTACAATATGTCCCCACACCTACTTCCCCAGGTAATCTGCAGTGCTCCCACCTGGGGCTGGGGTGGTATGTCCCTGCCCAATATTCTTTTTCCTCTCCACATATCCCTCACCCCCCCCCCCCCAAGGAAGAACAAGTAACTCTGCTGGCATTTTGGTAGTTAACACATATTTGGCATTAACCAGGCTCAGAATTCCCGCCGGCCACTGACTGCTTTCTCCCAGCAGTGTAACACTTGCATAGGAACAAGAAACCGAGGCAGTTGCCTGTAGCTGAGTCCCTATTCTTTTTAAAGCAAACTTAACAATACTGAACGAAGAAGCAAAAAAAAAAAAAAAAGTCTGTGTGTATATACCATGTGCAATGAGATGATGATGTGGAGCCAGTAACTTGGAAACAAAAAGTAGTCATATTTTGCTCACTTCTTTGTATCATCTAGAAAAGCTTCCAGGGTATAAGATTTGCTGTGTGGATGGTAACTGAATGAATGAACAAAAGGTCTACCTTCCCCTCACTGCTTTTCTTCTTTTCATTCTGCTTTAACATCCATCTCTGGGCTGACTCATTGTAAGCTTCCGCTATGTGCTGAGCTAAGCCCAATTTGGATGTGACATTTGCTAAGTCTTTAGCATTTCAGCTAACATAGGATCTAAGTAAGTACAAGATTCAGCCGAAAGGACGTAAGGGATCTGTTGAGGCAGACAATGTAAGTTCATGTGTAATCATTGGAGAACAGATTGAAAGCTAGATTGTATGCTACTTTGCCCATCCCACATGGAACTAATATAAAATTTGAGCAGTATCCATGTAGAGGATTTTGTTTGATGTTAATTCCTGCAGGATAGATAAGGAAGCAGGAGTAAGGGTTTTTAGGTAAAAGAGACCTAATTGTATGTTCTGTCCAAAGGACAAAGAACAAGGGCACAAAGCCGGGCAGCAGCTCTGAAAACTGGGTGGAAAAATTTCATCAAAACATGTTGGGCAAATGACTTAACCAGGATAGCGGCAATGTGGGAATTGAGTTTTTTTTGCTGGTGCCTGGTGCGTGACTGGGGGTGGCTACAGAGGGCTGGAAGGAACTGTGCAGGGCTGCATTGAACTGGTTCCAGGTGAGAGTGTTGTTCAGAGCAGAGAGACAAAGGTCATGATTCTGCAGGCCAACTTGTCTTATCCAGGTGTAAGGAAACAAGCGGAGGGTTTCCACCCTAGGGGTGTCACAACCTGATTTACATCTTGAACCAGTTCTGTCTGGCCAAGGTGGACAATGAGCTAGGAGGGCAATGGGATACAATCAGAGAGGATTTCGTGAGCAGGACATCGGTGGGTGGCTCTGGTCTAGAGTGGGTTGGTGGTGACAAGATGGGTGATACCCAATGGGGCTTGTTTGCAGGTGAAATTAACAAGAGATATTCTCTGGCAAGACATTGAAGCCCCCAGTTTGACTTCTTCATATTCTGGAGAGGTGAGCACATCCCAGCAGTCTGGGAGAATGGGCTATCTAAATGGAACTTTGTGGAAGCACTAAAAAGTATTAGCATAAGCAAGGATAGTTTATGGCTCTGTGAATATAAGTTTCTTTTTTTTTTTTCCAACCTCTAAAGTGTATTTTCCAAACTACGACATAAAATAAATTTACTATAATAAAAATAATGATTTTTGATATTTCCTAGATAGAGCTATGTGAAAAACCTAAGGTGGGCATTATACTATTTATTTCCTATAGTGAAGAAAGATTATAGGAAGATATCTTTTAAGTGCATAACCATACTTAGAAATTTAAAAAGTTTTATGGCCTGTTTTCTTAAAAATTATTTTTCATTGTAATTTTTTCCTTTTAATTCTAATATATTCTGCAAAAAAGTATTACCACTTTCCTGCCTGTAGTTGAGCCTATTATAAATCTGATTAAACTAATGTGAAGTTAATGGCTATATTTTAGAATAACCTCTTAGAACATAATAGTTTTATTGGAACAAAAGTATTTTTTGCCAAAATTATGTGGAACTAATGAAAAATTAATTGCTTTATAAAAAGCTGGTGTTTTATCTAAAACTAATAATTCTTGCACATCTCTTAATCTTCCTACAAACAGTTGGCAGGGAATAAAATCTAAGTTTACCGGTTCAAATTCCCTAAGATGTTCAGAGTCATTTTTATGTTTGTATGATCCAACCTTTTAACTTTTTTTTTTTTTTGCAATTTTAATCTTAAAGAAAAAAAAATTCTAATTAAATACAGGCAGGTTAGTCCCCCATGGCCATAGGGGAGTTTGAGATGCAAAGTATGACTCAGGCTTGAGTCGTCTGAGCCAACATTCTTTACTATTCATGCTGGCATTTTCACATCTCCCTCTAGTAGAATACAATGATTTTAATCGTTTAGCTGGATGGTTGAACTAAGACTTTTTGAAGCTGTTGTATACTGTATTTCAGTCCATAAATAAATCATGGGACAAAACAAATTACTTAATCTCGTGTTCTATTTGGAAACATATTAAGGAATAGACACAGAAGGGGTGGGGGGATCATTTAGTGCTTCTGAGTTGATCACATTTTTGTGATTTTGCATTGCATTCAAGTATATTGGGGTGTCCTACCAACTGTGTGCAAGAGTCACAATTGGAGGTTTTTCTAAGTTTTTGCTACTTGCTGATTAGGATATATCTATATCTATCTATCTAGATATATATATATATATATACATATATATATATATCTAGATAGATAGATAGAAAAACTGCAAACTGCCTTCGTCATCCACACTACTGTCCTGTTTTAACAGGAATTCATGGCAGTGGACACCTAACGGGCTGCAGGGTCATTCACCTGTAGCTATGTTTAAAGACGAACTCGCACGTGATTCTGTTACCTCTTGTTCTCGGCTTTAGCAGTCCTTCTTGTCTTCGTTTAGTCGGAAAGTCTTTCCTAACACTGTGAGAGGAAAAAGAATGAATAAATAAAATGTTACCCAACTTAATTTGTTGATTAAGCTCCTGCAGCACAGAAGGGAAATAGTCCAAATTTCCAAACACGTTTGGAGAACGCGATACGTGTGTTATCGAGACGCGTCCTCCTCCACAGACTTCTCCCCTCAAGAATGTGTTTTTCATGCAGAGAATGGACCCTTGTTTCCTAGGTTAATTGCTGGAACATGATGAGGTTTGGTTGCATTTTTAGTAATTTCCAGATTCTATTCCAGGACATTTGGGATAGAGCCCAAGAGCTTAACATGTTTTCCTTTTTCATGGTAAAATTGTGCAAATATGCATTAGAGTGTGAAAACAAACAGTCTAATACATTTTTGCAAAGCTCTTTATGTTTACTGTTTATTGCAGATACCAGATCCTAATTAAAATGCGCTAACAAAAGCCAAGATATGAAGAACAAAGATATAACGAAAACTTCATCTTTATAAAATATTTGTGATTAATCCTGGGGGATGTATGGCCTCACAGCACTGCAGTGGAATTTTTAAAAGGCTTATTCCACCATCCCAGGAAGGTAATACAATTCAGTCCTGCCAGGTGGTTACAGGAAGACAAATCGTGCCCTGTTTATTTTGGGGTGCTATTTCTTAGTCAGGTTCCAATAATTTTTTGATTTACTTTGTTGAGTTTTTTTTCAATATACATTTGAAATGAACAGAACCAACTTCAAAGAAAAAGTAAACCAAGGAACTGGCATATTAACAGTATATTTTGATTGAGAAGCATATTTAGATCTATGTTTTTTCAGTGGACATTTTATATATGCATGTGGGAGAAATTCTTTTCTGTTAGTCACACATTCAAGAGAATTAAATTTTAGAAGTCTGTAGGGCAGTGTTGATTAATGGAAAGGATAAGAGATTTGGAGTCACATCAACTTGGATTTGAACCTTGGCTCAACTGCCTTTTACTTTACTGATCTTGGGTTTGTGATTCAACTTTCTTATTGCCAACATGGGGATATTGGTGGTGATCTTTGCAGAACTGTGAGAATTTAGACAAGATAAGCCAGGTGGCACACACACCTCCAAAGAGGCAGATCTGAAGTGTCTTCAGAAAGTTCATAGATGGAGCCAGCACAGTAGCTAGTAGAATATTCCACAGCCTGCAGTGCCCACATCCCATATATGGGCACCAGTTGAAGTCCCAGCAGTGCTCACATACTGCATGGACACCAGTTGAAGTCCCAGCTGCTTCATTTTCTGACACAGCTCCCTATGCTTGGGAAGCGTAGGAGGATGGTTAAAGTCAATAAGCCCCTGAACCCCTATGGGAGATGTAGATGGAGTTCCAGGCTCCTGGTTTTAGCATGACCCAACCCTGGCTGCTGTGGCCATTTGGAGAGTACATCAGTGGATTAAAGATCTTAACCGCTTACCTTCTGTAACTTTGCCTTTCAAATACAAATAAATCTTTGGTGTGGGTAAAGGAGCAAAACAAGACTGAATTTTTTCCTCAAGGGTAAGAGATTTAAGCCAAAAGGACCAATTTTATCCCTTTAAGCAGAGAGAGGAGAATGAGTTGGAGGGACCAGAGATGTAGGGAGGAGACTGCTGATTGTGGTTGTATAGGTGGCTTAGACTATTTAATGGAGGCAACGGAGAACTTTTGGAATTGAAGA